TTTATTTTTAATAGGAGATATATCTTAACTAAAGAAGCCGACTGTTAAAAAAATTATTTTAGTAAAAATTGCTAAGAAATGGTATATGAAATTGTTGTTTTACAAAAAAAAATATTTCATCATGGGTTGGAAATGCTATTTTGTCGACTCATGTAAAATATAATACGTAATTTTATGTTTAATTCAAATCAAAATGAATATAACAATTTTCATTTAATTTCCATATTTGTATTCTATTCAAACTGCCAATGTTACACACAGGGTGTGGCGAGTATAATCTATAAAAATTAAACTACAGCTTCCTGATGATATTTGTAATAGAAAAGTCGTATACGAAAAAGTTCTATCTTCGCGTTTTTTTTTTTGTAAATTAAAGTTCATTTATTCAACGAAAATGAAGTCCGACCCTGTATTAAAAACTGGAAATGTTTTTATGCGACCCGAGATGCATTCTTATAATTTATGGTATAATCTAATACTAGTAATACTAAAAGAAGGTTAGGTTACATTGTCAAAAAATGTGTGCAGTCAACTGATTTTGTATTTGTTTTGAATTCATTATTCACTTAATTATTAAATATTAAGCATCGTCCATCGACCCATCAGTGTTAAAAAAGTGAAAGATTTCACAGAAAAGTTTTTATTTTGTAATTCCACGATAGTGACAGTGTAATTTTTATAAAGAAGTAAAAAATAAGAATAGCGTGCCGATTACATTAAAAACGAGATTCTTATTTCTTACTTTACTTAATTTTTTATTTTATGCACAAACTAGTTTTACAATGAACCAAGAAAACAATGCATTTACTATTTCCGAACGTGTCGATATGGTGTTGGTATATGGTGCGTCCGGAGAAAATGCGCTCGCGGCGACTAGGTTCTACCGGGAAGATGGCTACAACGTCACCCCCATGTGCAAATACAATCCTACAGTGCGTTCAGCGGCTGCGAGATACGGGAAGTGTTATTCCTCAAGGAGAAGGACGTGGTCAGCAAGTGAACCTTAATGTTGAAGATGCAGTGTTGGAAAATCTTGATATGGGCCAATATGGGCGAAAATCCTCACGCGATTAGGGAAACTCATTTTCAACAACGGTTCTCAGTAAATGTTTGGGATGGCATAAAAGGCGATGTACTTGTGGGTCCCCATTTCTTTGAATGACGTCTAAATGGACCAACATATGCTGACTTTTTGGAGAACCGGTTGCCTGAATTATTGGACGATGTGGCATTACAAGTTCGAGCACGCATGTTTTATCTTCAAGATGGGATTCCTACACACAGTATTCGAGAAGTAACGACACTTTTGAATGAAATGTTTCCTCAGCGCTTTGGTCCTGTGCCGTCGCCACCTCGGTCACCCGATCTAACTCCAATAGACTTTTATCTTTGGAGTCACTTGAAGTCATTGGTTTACAATACTCCAATTGCTACGGTGGAAGAATTGCGAAACTGTATACTTGACGCTGCCGACACAATTAGGGGAATACCTGGAATTTGGGAAAATATTCGCCAAAATAGGGTGCATCGGTGCCATGCTTGTATCCGCGCTAATGGGGATCAATTTCAACATTTTCTCTAGAAATGGTAAGTTTTATTTCATTTTGTTCCATATTTTAATGGAGTTTGTTTAGTGCACGCAGTTGGCAACTATCCTGATGCTTATGTGGTTTTGTTTGCGAACTCTTGCAGTAACAACAATGCATTTAAAAAAGTAATTACTAATTACTATTAATTACTATAATAAGAAAAATATCAGTTTTTTTTAAACATCTATTTTTCTTAGTTTGTACTTTTGCATTGAAAAATTCCCTAAAAATTGAGAAGTATCTTTCTATGTTTCAACGACGATTTGTTTACGCGGCTAGTCTACGAGTACAGCACGTAACTCATCGTACAGCACACGGACAGGACCGTTCCAGAGAAAATATTTTGATCCATAATTGAACTTTAATTTAAAAAAAAAGGAAAGGAAAAAATCGTTAGGAAGCTGTGGTTTAATTTTTATAGATTATACACGCCACGTCCTGCATAGAAGATTACATTTGTCAAGCAATATGTTGTCAACACATTTTAGTTGTTTTATGTATTTTTAAGGTAGGTATGTATAAAACATGTAGCCTTGACATTAAGTAAGAAGGTTTACACAAATTAAGTTAGTTTAATATTCTAATTAAGAAAATCATTAATTGTTCTTTTATTATCTAATATTGAATCCGAATGTACTATTTTCGACGTTGGTTATTTTTCCGCACCAAAAAATCTCTCGTGATTCGGTATTAATCTAGTTTGGGTAAAATTGTAGTGACAGAGCGTTATTTTCATTAGTGATTAGCGTTTTATTAAAATGGGACATAATTACGAAATGGTGGACATGTTATTAACGGTGAATGTAGACAAAATGCTACGTAGCAGAACGGAAATCCATAAATTATTTTCTAATTCTCCATACACCAAGTACTATGAGATTTATAACAATCGTTCCAAAAGTACGTGTCAAGTGAGAATACAATGTGTCATTCCATCTTGACTACAGCGGTTCTTAATATGTTACCACTTTTTCGTTACATAAGATCAGTATTTATTTACTACTTTTAATTTTTTTCACTATGTGGATTAATATAACAAGACAAAGGCATCATTAAAAATTAATTTTCAAGTTGATAAACACCTTATATATTGTGACTGACATAATTTCTAATTATTATAGAAAGAAATTGCATTTCCCTTTTATTATAACAATGGATGAAAACGATTCTCCGCATTTTCTGTATCTTAATACACCACAAGAAACAAAGAAGTTAGTACATAAATGAAAATTTGGAGGAATGTTTAATAAATATTAATAACAGTAAACTCTTAGAAACTAATTGGAATATACTGTAGAGGGATTTGCATATAATACTTATTCTAGTTCCCTTATCATTTTTGATCTTCCATTTAGAAAAAAGTGGTAAAAGCTAATTAGGGAATATCTTTACGTTCTCAAAGAAATATATTAAAAATAAATTGAATCTTGTATTTCGGTATTTTGAAACCACTCTATTTTTTTTTAAATAGAACATTCTGTATATTTACCGCTTTTTCGAATTGCCTCCTTTTCATAATTACATACATATCGCACATTTGCTTTGACAGTTTATACAATATAGATAAAGATCGACATGGAACTAGTATGATTTTCCACTATTAAAACTACCAAACAAATCTTTTAGAAAATGATACTATATTATAAAAGGGTGTGGAAATGTTTACAAATGCTGACTGAACTGGCTACCACTAATACAGTTAGACTTGGAACCCAAGGAGCTGAGAGAAGTGTCGGCAGGGAAGCTTTTGGAGTTTGTAAAGAGGACAAAACTACTTGTTGAATAGGACTGAGTAGTGGGATGCACAATAGGCCTGCTAATAAAGCCGCGGTACTATAGGACTTGATCAGAACCAACCGCTAGGAAAAGAAGATGAAGAAGATACTATAAAAGGTGTTTATATAATAATCTCATTGTTCTAGACAAAGAACATTTAAATAAGTTTTTCTCATTTTTATTAATTTCAATTATTGGATAGATATAATGTCATAGGATAAGACTATTATAAGAAATAATTTTATGATAGCAGTCCTGATTTGAATCCTGTCTAGTTCTTCCTATGAGGGATTTTGAAAGATGTAATAAACAAAGAACGAATAATAATTTATATGACAAAATATTGGACGAAGCTATCATTGAGATGGATATTGTTGAAGATATTATAAAACAACTTTCATAATAAAATATTCTTTCTTAAAACAGAAATGAAATATTGTTTTTTAAACTTATCATCAGAAAACTCACCACGCAGTGGGTTCATGACGATTCCAAAGCTAATGGTAATCTGACCATGTGCAGAATCACTAAATAAACCAAAATATAGTGCAAGGCAAATACATGACATGCACATATTATTGTCTCATTAGAAAAACAATACTTTGACTTATATCTTCCAATTGAAATATCAATAGTTTTTTATAATAAATATTTCCTTTAGATGACAAGAAAATCTACTAAAACTTTGGACTTTACTATTTTTTCCTATGTAGGAAGGCAAAAACCATAAGAATGGTAGAATGTTATGTGAATACCCCTGTATATAAATTATTAGAATTGGAAATTAATGTGCTTTTATTAAATAAAGTATGAATTATAATGTTACTAATTTTTCATTTCTTATACCATTGCCGAGTCTAATGTGATTACAGATTGTTACTTTATAAGAATTATGAAATGTTAGTACATTATTTAAGTACGACTGTAAAAAAGTTAAATATTTGAAGAAGAATAAAACGTAATGTTGTTTTACCGGGTTCTATTTAAAAAAAATATTTTCTAATTTAGAATAAGGGAAAGCTGATACACTGATCAATAATATGAATCTTTTTATCTGATTTCCCGATCTTGCAAATTAATTAAAATCATCTCGACGTAGTTAAAAAGTAATTTAATATTACCCAGAGCGCCGTTCTTTGGACCAACCCTGTACTCCTCCATTTTTACCTGAAACGAATCCCCCAATCAACTCATCAAAACTCTGTAATCCGCCGCGTGCTGCTGGGCTGTTAGCGCCGTCGTCGTCGTCGTCGTCATCATCTTCGTCGCTGTCGTCGTCATCTTCGTCCGAGTCGTCATCACCTAAGAAATTACAGCAACATGCAGCCTCACATGCATACACACCTCGCATTTAGCATTAAAAGCCAATTCTGGCAAAAAGACTTTAATGATCTAGACACAAGTGGTCTGACAGAAAATATTACATATAAAGTTAAGTGTTATAAGAATAAAATCGAAATACCCTTACTTTTCTGATCTACTAGCCATTCCAACACTTTGTCCTCGTTTTTTAGGTTGCCTATAACATTTAATTTTTCGATTAATTTTATCTTTCGCAACATACTTACTTGCGACGATTCCTGCCGAGAAAATTGAAAAAAAAAGAAAGAAAACCAATCCCAAATCATAGCTTACCATCATACATGATAGGAACACCGGTTTCGTAATACACCAGAGCCGGGAAGCTGAAGATCCCGATTTCGGAGGCCAGTTTGGCGTCTTTGGACTTGACAAATTGGATACCGTGTTTGTCTGTGTCGTCGTCGATGGTCTCGAGTTCCTCCAGGATTTCATCGCATTCTTCACAGTTGTCGGTATAGAAAAGTACCGCTAAATGGTCCACATCGTTTATGAGAACCTAAAAAATGCACAGTGACTTTATAAAAACTAACACTGTATGTTAACGATGGCACCTGTAAAGTCTTTCTATCAACGCTTTCAATTACATCGGGATCAGAATCGCGTAACTGTAAAATCCAATCCAAGATCGCCTCTTCGTGCATCATATCTCCAGTATAAATCTCCCTGAATCTGTTTCTGTAAAACGCCACGGTTGGCAAAGAAGGAAGGTCGTATTCCTTTTGGATACCTTCGTCGGAAATTTTGACAAAATCTATATCTTTATCTTCACATTCGTCGTCAATGTTTTCAAGTTCTAGCAGGATCTTTTGTGACCTTTTGTCTCCTTCTTTGTCTGAAAAAGGTTTTAATTTAATTTAATTTTAGTGTTTAGCGATCTGCTACTTACAAAAATAGACAACTACGTGTTCATTTTCGCTTAGGATTTTGTCCAACATCTTGGTGTTCACCTCTTCTATGCGGTCGGGAATTTCTAAAGTATTTTCATCCGTAAGCCAAGCGAGTACTTCATCTTCATCTTCGATGTCTCCAGTGTATACTAAAGGTTCTTTATTCCTGAAGAATACTAATTTCGGAAAGCTTTTGATTCCGTATTTCTTAGCCATAACTAAATCCTCTGTTGTAACAAAGATTATACCGCTTTCATCCAGTTCATCATCTATATTTTCCAGTTCGTCAAGGATTTTGTCGCATTTTTCTCCTTCCTCGCAATTGCCACTGAAATAAACGACAACATACTCATGTTCTTGTATGAGATCGTCAAGGATCTCATCGGTTACTTCTTCAATAGTTGCTGTCTCCTTTTGTTCAATCAACCATTTTAAAACTTCGTCTTCATTCATCAGATCGCCTTCATAAATGGAGGGTATTTTGTCCTCGAAATACACCAGGGTTGGCAGGTGGTCAATACCATATTCTTTCGCTTCGGCATCATTGTCAATCCTGACAATAACGATGCCTTCTTTTTCCAAGTCATCATCGATATTTTCAAGTTCGTTCAGAACTCTGATGTCCTGTTTGTCATCCTTGTCATCTAAAAGTAACATTTTTACTATCAAGTGAAGTAAATTAAATAAGTGTATTTACTGGTTTTCATTAAAAATATCGGAAGAATTCCAATTAATATTTTTAATGAAAATCAGTCAACATTATACTTACAGAACAGCACAGCCAAATACTGTTGCGAGTCTATTAGTAGATCCATCATTTCATCTGTGATGTCTGGGATTTCGCTATGCCTTTTTTGGTGCAACAGCCACCCTAAGAGTTCTTCTTCTTTCATTAAATCACCTTCGTACAAATGGGGGATCTTCTTCTCGAAAAATACAAGACTTGGTATGACGTCTATTCCATATTCTTTAGCTTCTTCATCATTATCGATCTTCACAAACACGATGTTGTTCTGGTCACATTCGTCATCGATGTTTTCCAGTTCCACCAGAACCTTTTGACTCTTCTTTTGGTCTCTGTCATCTGAAGTAAATAATGAAGATAAAAATTAATAAATCTTTATTAAATTTAAGTATAAAATTGTATAGAAAAATATGAAATTAAAGTCTGTGTTCTATAATTGTTAGTTAATTGCAGTATCTAGATGTGGATCGAATATAGTTTCATTCAAAAACTGAGATTTTGAATTATTTGAATATAAGATACTCACAGAAAAGAACAGCGACGAACTGCCTCTTGTTGAGAATGATGTCCAGCATCTCATCTGTGACGTCCTCGATTTCGTCGCTTTTGATTTGGTGCTCAAACCATTTGAGGACTTTGTCTTCGTCTTCCAGATTACCTTCATACAACGTGGGGATGCCATTTTCGAAGTAAACTAGGGAGGGAATCTTCTCGATGCCGTATTCTTTAGCTTCGTCATCGTTATCAATCTTCACGAAAACGATACCGAGCTTGTCGCATTCGTCGTCGATGTTTTCTAATTCGTTGAGGACTTTTTGGCTCTTTCTGTCGTCATCGTCATCTGAGGATTTTTAGGAACAAAGGAAAAGAGAAATAAAATTAAGGTCGTAGCGAAGGTAACATACTTAAAGAATTATATAGTTAAATATATTCAGCACTTATCAACTTTGACAATTCGTACTTATTTATTTTATAAATCTCAGAAAGGGTGTCTCAGCCATACTGCGGAGAACTGATTTCATAAGTCAAAACGAAGAGAAAAAGGAGAGTAACAAGTTTTTTAAAATGATTTCAAATTAAATACCTACAGTGCAACTGTTCTGACTCAATATTTAACAAACACAAACGCTTTAGTTGGAAGTGGTAAATCCATATCCAAATGTAAGAACAGGTTGATAGTTGAAACACCTCAGATTCTTATAATTTCGATAACTTGATTTCTTTTCCCCTCCTTTAAATGACGGTAACTACTATGAGAGCACTATTCTGTATCACACTTGAGGTCTATATGCTTAGGAGTTCTTCAAAAACTGCAATTCATTTTCAGTCTTTGAATGATTATAGAAATTGTTTTAACAAAAAGGTGCTGCCCATGCTTTTTTGTGTATTTTAATGAAAGGAATCAGTCTCGAAAGTTTGTCAAACGCAGTCGTTACATCTTTTATATTAATACAGTAAACGCTGTCCTAAATCTGCTGTTAAAATAATGTGTAGGTAATTTTATTATAAAAATGGAGACGTAAGTTCTATAACTTTGTCAAAGGAACAACAGCTTTGTAGATAGTATCCGTCCCAAATTTTTTGACACAGGAGCTAAATCTAGACGAGCACTGAGCACTATTATCTCGAATGTTTACCTTATCAATATACCCACTCTGAGATTTCTTGCCAAAAAGTATTACCTTGGATTTAGTCGAATTTATGGGAAGATAAACTTTATTTGATATGTCAATGAGAGATGCTAGAACTCCATTAACAAGACAGCTGGTAATGTAATCATCAAAAGAATAATACGATTGTGTACGATCTGCATATAAATGGCCACTGTCAGATTTTAAAACATCATGAAATCGTATAAATAGTAAGCCAAAGCGGCCATAAAATTACACCCTTGGGATAAATAGTTTCATTAGCTCAACAGAATATTCACAAAAACCATAATAATGCAAAATTATTTTTGCATTATCTTGTATATTCATTATTTGATTTGACTGTTATACATTTTGTAATTATCTAAAACAAAAATCAATTTAATTTAAATGTGTAAGAGATTTTGGTAACGTTATGCGATATGAAACTGTAACAGGTAATTAACATAACGTCATAAACTCATAGCAATCGCTATTATCGACAAAATAAATTTAATTTCAAGAATTTCTATTCCAATAAACGGACGATATATAATGGATGACTTACTGAATTTAATAATGGATAAAAATTATTTGTTTTTTTTTTCATGTTTTGTTGTGACTAAATGAAATATCTTATTTACGAAAAATCATACTTTTCTCTGTATCAAAATAAAATATGAACCTGGAATTGATCTACAGACTTTAGTTGTAAACGATAAAGACAGAAAGATACAAATAAGTTTACGTTCCTGACACAGATAGAGCTGCACGAGATTGAGAGAGAACGCATTCGGCTAGAAAGAATAAACACAAGCGCAGCGATTTGGAATAAAAGCGTTTCTCTTGCCCATTTGTAGACTCAACTATCTCAGATGCAAACTCATTCGTGTCGGTTTGTAAATTCCTGCCAAATGAAAGAATACTTACAGAACAAAACAGCTAGGTTCTTCCCCTCGGCGATAAGTTTGTCCAGCATTTCATCGGTTACATCCTCGATTTCATCCTTCTCCAATTGTTCAATCAACCACTCGAGGAACTCCTGCTCCTCCTCCAGGTCCCCATCGTACACGTTTGGAATGCCTTTCTCGAAGTACACCACCGAAGGTAGAGTGTCCAGGCCGTACTCTTCGGCCGCGTTGGGGTCGTCGATCTTTACGAATTGGATGCCATACTTGTCGCAGTCATCGTCGATGTGTTCCAGTTCCTCCAGAGCCTGCATGGATTCCTCTTCTCCATGGTCATCTAAAATGTTGGTTAATGTGATTGAAAATATAGGGATAATGATGGCAAATCTTATCTAGACTGGTTGAAAAAATGGGGAGAAAGAAAGGAACATCGTGGGTTGGTGGGGAATAGAGGACAATTAATGTACAGGGTATTTTTTAAGTTCATGTCAACTTCAGTGTATGTTCTCTGGATCATTTTGGTATAAAAAGCCTTGATTAGAGATGAAATACTTTGATTAAATTTCCAAAATATCCAGTAGCTTCAAAATTCTGAGGCTTAAAGTGAGATTTCCATCATTATTTGATACGCTCTATATCTTCATATTTATCTCCGTTAAATCACACACAAGAAATATTAGAGTATTTGTATATATTTTCTTATATTTCATCCTTGAAAAACAATGGATATATGAAGACATTTAGGCTTAACATTATCCACCTGCTGAACTTATGCCATAGATCTAGAAATGTCATTGAAAAATTTTAATTCGTTCCTTCATAATATAATTCAGAATTAAATAATGAAATAGTTGCATACGCGTCTTACAATTAGAAATACTTATTTAAATCTGCTTGCACAATTAGTCAAAACAAATGAACTCCAATTTAAAATGAACTGTCCCTTCTGAAAAACTGCCAAATGAGTCATACACATATTGTTAAATTTATTTTATTAAGTGCCTTACTGCTGTTACAACGACTAATTAAGATGTAATAATAGGCAAGGAGAGAGGTTTGGATTTATTTTTACAAGAAATGTATTACTGCTGGACTACGGGAAAAGTAAGGGTCATAGGATTTAATATGCATAGGTAGATATTGGAAAATTTTATGAAATACTTACAAAATAATACAGCTAGGTGGTCGACGCTGCTAATAAGTGTCGTGAGTGTTTTTAAAGTTACGTCTTCGATGACGTCGTCTTCATCCCCTGTACTCTTGTGCTGAACCAGCCATTCCAAAACATCTTCTTCCTTGGTAAGTTCTCCTACAAAAATAAGATCCGTATGTCTCAAATTTTTACAAAAAATATGATTGTTGGACTGGTAGGAAATGTTTATTTCTTCATTACACTAGAGTTTATAGAAGCTGTTTCTGTTGGTATGTTTGTACTTTCTAACACATTTGATTCACCTGTTCACAAACATGCGGATACTTTTTACAAAAATTCATTTCGATGTGGACCTTTGACTAATTTTGGACCGCCTTGGTTATCGTTTTATATGTGAATTCGTAAATGTTCCTCAAACTGTTGATGAGTCTTTTGAGTGCATCATTGCTTATCAGAAACTAAGTTCAGAATTTATGGTACATCACTGTGGGTACACATGTTCGCAAGCGACCCATTTTAAATATTAGACAAAAGTGCCAGCCTAACGCCGGACTGGCCTAACAGTTGCAAGGACAAAGAACAGACGCAGGACGCACCAGGGTTCCAGGAAGAGGTCTACAGCAGATACATATACCTGCGAGCGACTCCACACTAGGATTCTTCAACGATCGCTTGCCCCGACAACATTTCTTCTCACTAAACTTTGTTTTCAATAAAAATGCTTTTATTTTTACCGCTGAGAGAGAGTTTTATTTTGCTGCACACGGAAAGCAACCCTCATCGCATTCGCTTGATTAGATTCGGTGCAAAGTTGATTAAGAATTCCACTAACAATCTTTGTAAAAAGTATCCGCAAGCTTATGGACACTAAGTGTCAATATGAAGCAGGAGGTTGTGCCAAAATAGGGCTCTCTACTTATATTTTGATAGAAATACCTTCATAAATAATCGGGATCTGATGTCTGTAGTAGACCAGAGCGGGTAGACTTCCCAAATTGTATTCCTCAGCCAAATTCTCATCATTTATCTTGACGAAGCCGATACCTAACTGATCAGCCTCATCGTCGATGTTTTCCAATTCCAGTAAGACCTTCGAACATTTCTTGCAATCGGGTTTGTCTACATCCAACAAAAAACGTTAGTGCAAAGTAAGGATACCTCGTTTTCTTAATATTTTTGGGCTGGGCTAACTTACAAAGCGAAAATATTGAAAATACAAGGCAAACTGGAGGAGGCAAAAAATAATCGCCAAAAGTATGCAAGTCTCTGTGTGCTAAATTCATATAACAGCCGAAAAAGAGCAGTATATTTTCATGAACACCAAATACTGAAATTATTTGTACTTTTTCTACTATAACAATGTTTCATTACTGGAGAATATTTAAAATTATAATGTCGGCGATTTTCTATGTACTTGGAAGTGATTTTATTTTTGGAAATATTGTGCAGTATTTTCCAGCAGTTTATTGCTGCTTTTATAAAATTTTTATATTGTCAGGTTGCTGAAATATTATGAAGATACTGTTTTAATATGTTTTGATGTGTTTAGGTATGTGTATATGTATTATAGACCGGGAGATATTAGACTGAAGTTCGACGACGTCTTTCTCGTTTATGCCTCTGAGAGTACTGAAAGGTAACCGAGAGACAAGAACAATAAACTAAATTTAAAAGATGGGCTGCGGGACACCTTCGTGAAAATTCAATTTTCCTTTTCAAAAAAATAATGGGTACAGCGACGTATTTCTCACTTATGCCATGTTCGTAAGTTGAAGAGAAGTATCGATTTTATCACAAAATTTTTTTGGCATAAGTGTCGCAAGGGACCTAAAAATGGAAAACTTTGTAAGAAAATGTGGAAAAACATCTTTATTTGTCTACCAATTTCTCATTAATGCCAATTAGAAATATTACATTATTATATTCGAAAAGGTCATAAAAAACATTGGCATAAGTCCTACTAAGGACTAAAGAAAATAGAGCTTTGGAAAAGCTGCGGAAAATTTTTATTTTCATTCTATAACTTTCTCATTTATGCCGTTGAAAATTTATGATACTTACTATAAATAATGTACTGTGTCAAGTAGGCATCACTCCTCTATGGGTTCAATATGAAGGCATAAGTCTCAAAGTTGTAGGAAAATTCATGAAAATTTTTACGTCTTTCTCGCTTATGCCATTTTGCATGCACGTAGGAAACTACATTATAAAGTCATATAAATGTAGGCATAAGTCCACATTGGATTTTCATGTTGTAAATTAATTTGAATTTTAATACGAGTCAGGTCGACAAAGTAGAAAAATAATAGAAAATTGCCACAATTTTCTCGTTTATGCCGTTTCGTACACGAGTAGAAAATATTACTAAAAGCCATTTTCAAGAGTGGCATGAATGCCACAAGGTACCGTCGTATGTAAAAATTTTTAAAAAGTTTATTTCATCGCCTACGCAATTTTCGAAATACTTATACTTACTTGCATTTAGCGTATTTTTAATTTTTATAAATATAAGTAATTCATGTATTTAATGAAAGTTAATAATAAACTATTTCGGCTTAAGTCCCCACATATTAGAAATGATTTTTAATTATTCTTTGAGTCATGATCAGAAAAAGAAAAATTATATAATATTGCCACAAATTTCTCGTTTGTTCGTAAATGAGTAGAGTATTTTATCACAATAGACCATACGTATTTATGAACAATATATTTAAATTTTAAAATTTAAAAATATTATACAATTTGAATTAACCGCTTCAGTGCAAGGATGATCTACTTGAATTGAGCCGACTAAGGTAGAAGAAGAAGAAGAAGAAGAAGAAGAGGAAGAAGAATAAATAATTAAGCTAAAATACATAGGGAAGAAACTGATTTATAACTGATTTAATATCATGTATATTGAATTTTGTTTTTTGTTTCTGGTACTTTGTACCTTAATTACTTAATTTGTACTTTTATACATTTTATTTTTATATTAAAAGATTTATTTAAGTAATAGTAATTGAATTGAAAAACCGCTGCCAACTCAATTGTCAGAATGCTTCCTCAAAGACTTTGAATTACTAATTTTTAATTATAACTAACACAAACAATAACACTTAAAATAATACAAATTTTTATTAACTTAAAATTAAAGCATATCAAAAATAAAAAGTTTTTTCGGTTTTATGATTTTTTACATTTTCAAATTTCAAACAGTTTTATCTGCAGCTCTTGATGAAAACGGATCAAAATAAAGGCCTTACTACCAGCTTTATTATAAGTTATTAAGAATTATCGTAATAAAAAATAACATGTCGAAAAATCAAACTAAACCCAATATAAAGCTTTCTCTTTTTCATGAAATTTTTTTTATTTTAAATTTTTTATTCCCTTTTATAGTTAGAAATATTCATTTTTTATATAGATATCTTCTCCGACACTTGCATTATTTATCATACATTTTTTAAATTAATTTAAGTATATCGAAAATTGCGCAGGCGAGGAAATAACCGCAATTTGTAATTTTTGACAACTTTTTAAAAAATTTTACATACGACGGTACCTTGTGGCATTCATGCCACTCTTGAAAGTGGCTTTTAATAATATTTTCTACTCGTGTACAAAACGGCATAAACGAGAAAATTGTGGCAATTTTCTATAATTTTTCTACTTTGTCGACCTGACTCATATTAAAATTCAAATTAATTTACAACATGAAAATCCAATGTGGACTTATGCCTACATTTATATGACTTTATAATGTAGTTTCCTACGTGCATGCAAAATGGCATAAGCGAGAAAGACGTAAAAATTTTCATGAATTTTCCTACAACTTTGAGACTTATGCCTTCATATTGAACCCATAGAGGAGTGATGCCTACTTGACACAGTACATTATTTATAGTAAGTATCATAAATTTTCAACGGCATAAATGAGAAAGTTATAGAATGAAAATAAAAATTTTCCGCAGCTTTTCCAAAGCTCTATTTTCTTTAGTCCTTAGTAGGACTTATGCCAATGTTTTTTATGACCTTTTCGAATATAATAATGTAATATTTCTAATTGGCATTAATGAGAAATTGGTAGACAAATAAAGATGTTTTTCCACATTTTCTTATAAAGTTTTCCATTTTTAGGTCCCTTGCGACACTTATGCCAAAAAAATTTTGTGATAAAACCGATACTTCTTTTCAACTTACGAACATGGCATAAGTGAGAAATACGTCGCTGTACACATTATTTTTTTGAAAAGGAAAATTGAATTTTCACAAAGGTGTCCCGCAGTCCATCTTTTAAATTTAGTTTATTGTACTTATCTCTCGGTTACTTTTCGGTACTCTCAGAGGCATAAACGAGAAAGACGTCGTCGAACTTCAGTCTAATATATCCCGGTCTATTATGGACCGTGTCACATACAAACACCGCGTGCTTGTACGAAATGGTTTGTATCAAGAAGCACATTATGTGTCAACGGTAAATTTTGCACGTGTTTTCAAACATAAACTCTGCGTGCTACTAGCGCGTGGCAAAACCTGTAGTAGTTACAGTAGTGGTGTATTTTTACTAATGATGTGCACTATTGAATGAATTCAGCTATCGAATAATTAGTAATAGACTGCAAGTATCGAATAAATTTATTCGAATAACTTCATTCGCATAAATGGTGGGCATAGGGACTGAGAAATATCTTGTATTTTTAGAAAGGGTGATTTATCAATTTATCGAGAGTTACTACAGTATTATAGTGTTTTGCGACTGTAGATAAACGGGTAATATGTTAATCATTACTAATTTTATTCAAATACAATTTGAACTATCGAATAGTTCGGATACTTTCGTACTACCGAATGTTTCGACAGTTTTTTAAGGTATTTCAAGAACGGGAACACATATCCTAATTAAAAAACATTACTGATTTTATTTTCTTAAAAACAATCGCTTCATACTACTGCTCGAAAAATACTGTACTTTTCTTCCAAATTGAAAATGCATTATAATTTTTTCATCAATCTAATTTTAAAATATACATCACTTTTATGGCAATCATATTTTATTTATGCATACTCTTGACTTTCCTACCGAAAAAATTGGGAAATAACAGCAAATACTAAGTGGACATTACTTTATAGAGCTAATTTATATTTAGAACTTTATATTTATCATATATCGAAATACGAGAAAATGGGACGACAAGGCCGTGACATAATATTAACCCAAATCTAGAATCCCAGTGTCTAGTGTATAATAAGTAATGGCAATTAATCTAGTAGATACAGAAATATTTTGGCAGAGCCGTGGTCTAGGTTGCTTGAAACTGTAGTAGTGTGGAGGATAAATTTAGAACGTGAGTTTTAGAATTAAGTTGCTGTTAAATTCATTGTTAATAATACGCCAGAGTATTAGCACATTTCATAAAGATTTTATTCACTTGACGTCTATGTACCTTCATCAATATTTACTCATGCAAAAGCATTACTGGTAGAGCTGCTGCACATCTATAAAGATGGAAAAGTAACACAAAACTTTAAAAAGATACGTGTAGGGCCTATATCTCAGGGATATTCCTGTAATATGGAAGGTGTATGGTGTAAGTGTGTGTGTTAAAAGTGTATTAGGCTGTGTGGTGTAGTAAAGACGCATGCGCATTGCTTTCTACATTCTGAAAATAAAAATAAATAAAATAAATGTTATATGCCTCACCAAACTATGCTTAGTTTCAGTTCATAAAAGAAATCTGCCAAAATCTAGAATAAATTGAGGTTAACATTAGCAAAGACTTCTTAGCTTATGCATTTACTATACGTGATCTGAAAGGTTGCTCAATAAACTCGAAAGCTTCTGTTTATTTCATACCATTAATTTCACAAAATACCAGCAGCGCTTGCATTTAAAATATATTTTTGTAATTTACTTAAATAGTACTAATTTATATGTTATAAGGTTTTTTGACTATAGACTCGTTTACATGATTACTATGACACACAATTATAATTATACAGGATGAGTCGGGAGAATCGTACCAAACTCCAGGAAAGTATTCAACACGTCAAAATCATAAGGAAAAACTCGAATGCTGTCATGCGATTTTATTCATTTGTTTTAAGTTATAATAATAATGTAATGACAAATTTAAAAA